TCGGACGCTTAACCGACTGCGCCACCCAGGCGCCCCATGCAGTCACCTATTTCTAAGGCACTTGGGGCTCATCTCAAAGTGCTCTTTGCCATCTTTAGCACCTGGGCTCATTCTCCACACACACATCCTACGAAGGCCATGGCAGCAGGCTTTCGTGCTGGGTGCTTCAGGGAGCGTGCTTCCTGGGTTAAATCCTCTGTTTCCGCATCTTCAGAACACACAGAATTGGGAGAAGTAAAGGTGCTAAACGTCAGCTTAGAAAGGTCTGCCTAGAGATGCCTTAATTTCTAGTTAGGTTGCATTTAAGCTTCAGGCCGGTAGACCTGCTTCTGGTGGCTTTTTCCTTCTGTTTTTAGAGTGTCAGGAGCATTGCTGCTAGGCGGGGACCATGCGAGTGCTGTCCTTGATGCCTCGTTTTCCACCCTGCCTCTGGCCCTGCTGCTTTCTGTAGCCACTGCTCAATTTATGTAAATACCTGCCCTCAGTCTCGGGGAGCATAACTCTCCACTCCTAGGGATGCTATTGGTTCGACTGTCTTTTAAGTCCTCTCTGTCGACAGAGAAAATTAAAAAAAAAAAAAAAAAGTGTGAATAGTAACCCATATATATATACCTTCATCTATAAATATATATATTTTTACAATAGGCTCTACACCCAAGGTGGGGCTAGAACTCACCAACCTGAGATCAAGAGTTACGTGCTCTACCGACTGAGCCAGATGCCCCCGGATATTTCTGTATAAAACCACTGTATCTATATTAACCTAAACCTGAGTTCATACTGCCTCCAATTGTAATCCATTGCCACATGGATCATTCTAGCCTCCTCCCCTTTGCTTGATTAATAAATTTTCACTACAACAGTTAGAAACCTGGCTCCCATCATCCACCATCCACCATCCAGTTACTTAATTGTTCAGTTTTAGCATACCCATACAGCAGTATTTGAATTGTTAGGCCATACTCTGGGGGAAAGAACTGTCAACGAAGTACAGTACTTGTGTGCAGTTCCTTTTCCTTTAGTCTTACAGGTGCCACTCATTTCCATAGTTACTTAGTTCAGGGCCTATTTCTCCCATCCCCTTCAGTGAGGTTGTTTCATACATTTGCAATACAGTTTCAGAGTCCCTTGTCATAATCTGCATTATTTCCTACCTCCCACATGAATTTTTTTTAAATTGCATATATTAAGGTTTGTTCTTTTTGCTATAAAATTCTGTGGATTTTGACAAATGCATAATATCATGTATCTACCATAAGAGTATTATATACAGAATTGTTTTATTTCACTGAAAATCCCCCTGTGCTTCACCTGTTTGTCCATCCTGGCTTCTCCCAAACTCGATCATATTCCTGTCTCTATAGTTTTGCCTTTTCCAGAATGTCATAGAATTGGAATTACATAGTATGCAGTCCCATTAGATTGCATTCTTTCACTTAGCAATGTTCATTAAGGTTCCTCCCATGTCTTTTTCATGGCTTCTTAACTCATTTTCTTTTACTGCTGAATATTCCATTGTAGAGATGTTTCACAGTCTGTTCACCTATTGAAGGACATTTTAGTTCTATAAAGGTTTAATAAAGCTAGTATAAACATTCTCGTGCAGATTTTCTCTGGGTATAAGTTTTCAAATTAATTGGGTGAATACCTAGGAATATGATTGTATGGTAGCTTTGTAAGAAACTACAAACTATCTTCCAAAGTGCCTGTACCATTTTGCATTCCAATCATCAGTGGAAGGATGCTGTACATCCTTGCCAGCATTTAGTATTGTCAGTTGAAAAAACTTGTTTAGTCATGCTAACAGGTGCGTAGTGGTATCTGTTGTTGGTCTAATGTTCGTTTGTTTTAATTTGAAATTCCCTGATGTCAGGTGATGTTGGACATCTTGTCATATGTTTATTTGCCATCTGTGTATCTTCTTTGGTAAGGTGTGTATTCAGATCTTCTGCCTACTTCTTAGATTGTTTTCTTATTGTTGAGTTTTAAGTATTTGTTGCATAGTTTAGATAGAAGTCTTATAAAAGATATATGTTTGGCAAATATTTTCTCCCAGTCTGTGACTTGTCTTTTCATTCTCTAATGGTATCTTTGACAGAGCAGAAGTTTTTTTATTTTAATGAAATCATGCTTACCTTTTCTTTCGTGGATCATGCTTTTGCTGTTATTTTTAAAAACTCATTGCCAAATCCAGAGTCACATAGATTTTCTCCTGTATTTCCTTCTAAAAGTTCTACAGTATTATGTTTTATACTTGGGCCTGTGATCCATTTTAAGTTAGTTTTTATAAGTAGAAGGTGTTTGTCTAATTTTTTTGGATGTTGATCCAATTGTTCCATCCCATTTGTTGAAAAAATTGTCCTTTCTCCATTAAATTGCTTTTGCTCCTTTGTCAAAGGTCAGTTGGCCCTATTTGTGTGGGTCTGTTTCTGGACTCTTAATTTTGTTATATTGACCTGTGTGTCTGTTCTTTTGCCAATATTATGCTGTCTTTATTACTGTAACTTTATAGTAAGTCTTGAAGTTGGGTAACATCAGTTCTCCAACTTCAGTTTTCTTTCATATTATGTTCGCTATTCTGAGTCTTTGCCTTTCTGTATAAACTTTAGAATGAGTTTGCTGATATCCACAAAATAGCTTGCTGAGATGTGATTGGAACTGCATTGAATCTATAGATTAAATTGGGAAGAATTGACAGCTTCACAATATTGAGTCTTCCAATCCATGAATATGGACTATTTCCCCATTTATTTAAATGTTCTCGATTTCTTTCATCAGAGTTGTATAGTTCTCTGCATACAGGTCTTGTACATGTGTTGTTAGATTTATACCTAAATATTTCATTCTTTGGGTGCTGTTGCAAATGGTATCGTGTTTTATTTATTTTTATTATTATTATTTTTTTTTCAACGTTTATTTATTTTTGGGACAGAGAGAGAGCATGAGCGGGGGAGGGGCAGAGAGAGAGGGAGACACAGAATCGGAAACAGGCTCCAGGCTCTGAGCCATCAGCCCAGAGCCCGACGCG